CTCATATGATATTATGCAGTTCCGAGCGCCGTAAAACACTTACCAAAATAAAAAAAAGTATTGTAAAATCAGAAACTACCCGAAAACGACTCAAAATGTAAGTCTAGTAGACAAAGTTCTCACCTGGTCCCGTTTCAGGCCAGCCTTCTGACATTTCTCCAGCGTTTCTTGTAAGTGTTTTTCGTTGGTCCCCGTCACCACCACAGCGCAACCCCTCTGGGCGAACAGGACGGCCGTAGCTTGTCCTAGTCCAGAGCTGGACCCTGGGAGCAAGATGGCGTCATACGGCTGTTAATATTATTGTGTTTTACTATACGTGTTTTACACCTCCCTCCACATGATTTAGAGTATTTAAGCATGACCTAAAAAAATATTATTTAGAAGGTGGACGGCTTCGAACCTGGCCGTGGGATACACCATCCCAGCAGACAGAAGTGAATACATCATCCCAGCAGACAGAAGTGGATACATCATCCCAGCAGACAGAAGTGGATACATCATCCCAACAGACAGAAGTGGATACATCATCCCAGCAGACAGAAGTGGATACATCATCCCAACAGACAGAAGTGGGTACACCATCCCAATTAGAGCTATAACTAGCTTTAAGGTCAGGGTTATGGTTATAGTGAGTTCCCAAGTGAGAATGTGGGTCAATCTCGTTCAAAGGGTTAGAATAATGGTTTTGTTAACATTTCTTGGTTAAGGTTTTTCTTTGTTAGGGTTAGTGTTGATTAGACATGGGCACTTTCAACGAAGTTGCAGTTGTCCATTTCTTCTTCAAAAACATATCTCTGTACGATGTGAGAGTAGCAAATGGAATCCAGAGGAGATCTGCCACTTTTCTACCAAAAAAACCCCCCTCCCCTCCACTCACCACCAGTCTCACTTAACCCCCACCTCCTTAAAAGATAACTTCTACAGACAAAATGGCCGCAGCGACAATGACCTTTCCATTGGACATACGGTACCTTTTGTCTCTTTCAGATATGGAAACACCAATTTTGACAGAAGCACAGGCACTTTGAAGTTGAGGTTGAAGGTCGTGTCGATGTCCTTCTCTTCCAAGTCTTTGATGAAGCCGGTGTACAAAGCACCTGCGTTATTTACCTGGGGGTCGGAGGGAATACGCAGGTACATTTTTGAGTGTTGACTGTCTTTGTGTCTGTCTGTGTGTCTGTTTGTTTGAGTGTACCTCTGTCGGTATCTCTTTTTCAGTATTTCTCTATACACTCTC